TTTTCTGTCTGATTTTAGAAAAGGGCACCTTTCTCAGAGTCCCAACTATTGGCTAGAGTAGCTATCTAACGTTCCGTTATACAGTAGTGGTCATGCACGCAAGCATTGAAGTCATTGCACGCTGTTAGTTTATTGTTTTTCTGCTCCGGCCCATATAAGCTGTTACGACAAGGGCCTCGGATGCAGGGGTGAGGGGAATAGGGGGAGAAGGGGTGTAGCTCATTAGCCAATTTCTACCATACTTGAAAGAAGCTTGGCCACTCTAAGGCCTTTTTGGTAATTTAGAAGTTAAGTCAATATTGAAACCACAGAAAAGACACACATTTGTTACAGACCCTCTTCTGTTGTAGGGTACCTTTTTCCAAAATCAGACAGATATATAAGATAAGATTTGCTTACAAATGAACTGTAACTCTAAATAATCAACGTTACATTGACTCTGCTTTGATTAACTCTAATATGACAATCAGACGTGAAGGTCCAGCGTAAACAAAAATAAATCAGACGTGAAGGTCCAGCGTAAACAAAAATAAACGCATTATGAAACTTTCTCATGATTGGTGGTTCTCGATCCAAAGCATTGCTGACATTGTTAGAGGACGTACCTTTCCCCTCAACGGTCCGCTGTGTTAGTAATCAGCTGCTATGTTGTCTGATCGTAGGCATCTACCCTTCGGGAATCTCAATTCCACTGTCCCTATTGATGCAGTTGTTACTGGGGTGAAGCCGTATTTGACTAGCCTCTTTTACCCGGGGATTTATCTATCAACCTTTAGTTTTTGATATCAATATCATGGTATTGGAGTCACAATGTGGAAATTTTAAGCCCAGACTGGTGACACTACCAAATCGTGGCTAAAAGTTGCAGAATTTCAGGCCTATACTCAGAGTCTACTCAGCACTTAGTTTACCTTATCCAGGAGAGGATATTCTCTCTTGCCTTATCTCAATAATTAGTCCTAGTTAAAGACCAGCCCTAGCATCCTAGCAATCCTCAGCTGACCTTTTTGGCTTACCCTAACCCTAACCCTAACCCTAACCCTAAATTCGCGGGAGTACCCCCCCCCCCGGGTTTTCAGCCCTTATGTAAATGCGACATACATCAATCTAACAAAAAGATTCCATGTTGTCGTGCGTCTGTTCATTAATATATTACAGATGACGTCAAAATGTGGTAAAAACATCAGTGACACATTCGCCTGCAGCTCGTGTGGCACCTCTTTGTTTTTACTACATTTTGACGTCATTTGTGATCTATTACTGAACAAAATTTCAGAATGTCATCCATGCGTCTGTACTCTGATAGGTTATGGGCAACAACCAATCACAGTACGCGTAACATTCACCACATTGTATAAAAACTAGATATTTTTTTGTTCCTTTCAATTGAAAAAATCTTATACAGCTGGCTTTTATTACATGAAATCAAACAATAAAAAGTTATTTTCTTCTGTTCAAACCCCCTTTTTAATGAAGGAAAATCATCTGGCAAATCTCTTGCGAACTGTTTTGCCTTCACACTGTGCATGTCATTACCAATGCGCATGTGCAATCTTGAAGTGTCTCTGGGCACTGACACTAGCCACTAATTGTCACAGCGCTCACTTTTGCGGAAACTTCATAGTTTTTTCCAAATAATTCTGTTTTGGTTTTTTACGAAACAAGAAATTTAATATCTTTCGAATGTTTCTCGAATCTTTCTTTATTTCACACCGACTGTTTAAGGCATTTACACAAGTGTACCGCGTAAGTAGGAGAACAAAGTAGTTTATAATCATTAAGCTAAAAGACATTAAGTTCATTTGTGAACAGTGTCCAAAGTAGCATAACGCAAAATATAAAATGTTGGTTTAATTGCGCGTGGGAAGCGAGTCGACCATCAATTAACTTATCAGCTTGAGTGGGAAACAGAGAGAAACTTACATTATTTAAAACTTCTACCTTTCTTGCAAAAAACATCATTTCACTTTAAAAGCGTAAATAAAAGTGTTGGTATTTCCGAAAGAAGCAACGATCGAATCAAGGTCAGTAGACATTTTGATGTACGTGTCTGGTAATTTAGGAAGGTTTCTGTTGAATCATTAAAACCAATTTTGAAAGAATCGGTAGGAGTCAACCAGGAAAATGAGTTCTTAGTATTGTCGTCTACCAATCGGCAGAGTGACATTAAACAATAATCCTGGGGATGAATTCAATTTTAAATGAAGATTTCGGCCGTTCAAACGTAAACCTGTTTACTTAGTCTTGGAAAATGTCTTCGTCCCTGCCCCACTCCCCCTTTGTTTCATCGTTGGTCTTTAATTTTAGTACATATTCTCATTTTAGTTTTAAGAAAAATCAGTTGAGCCAAAATTGAAACAAAGCCGCTAGTGATTTATTTGATGCATCATGCAAGAACTTTTAAATTCAGTAGACGCCACGATTCTCCTTTGTTGCAGTACACGCCACAGCTTAACACGCGACTTTTGACGGATCAGATCAGGTAGGCAGATGTTTCGTTTTAAGATTAAAATTTTAAAGGACTTCATGTGAATGATTGTCTCTCATGGATTTTTTTTTCTCTTGCTATATATTCGTTAGGTAACGAATTTTTTTTTCATTTCGGAGAAAACGTCTTGTGAAAAAGATCTTTAATTTTTAGTGGCTGTAACACTTTGTTAGAAAATTATGCTTTACACAAATCCCTAAAGATATAATCAGTGCCTTATCACTGATTTGTTCAGTTTATACGGCTGAAGACATTTAAACTGGTAGCTCACGATTCTTTGATGAACCTAGAACATTTAGTGGGATTATATTTGCAATTGGAGCTGAGCACCGTTAAGATTAATGGCGTGCGAGTGAGAAAAACACAATACATCAAAGTTCTTTATCACACACACTTTTTTTCTGAAAGCTTGGGTCGCAGAGAACTGAAGAAGCCAAATGTTAGAAGAGTATACCCAACAGCTACAGATCTTTGTACAATCATGTCGCTTATATTCTCCTTGGCACGCTGTGGCATGATAGGTGAGGCGACAAGATTTTCAAGTCTGGTAAGCTAGAAAGCGGATCATAAACATTAATTAAGCGCAAATGATCATGACTCATAGGATAATGCCTAAGCTCCGAGGCTTTCTTATAAATAATAACCGAGCGCGTGGCGCGAGGTTATTACGTTTTAGAGGGCCGAGGCGGAGCGAGGGCGTTATCCCATTTAATGTACCTTCACTTTGTTTTAGAAGCCAACCAGCAGGTATCGGATTAAATTGCAGGAGGGCTCCTGATAATTCTTAAGTGATAATGATCGGCCTCCTTTTGAAAACCCGTTTGTACGACAACCTCGCTCGTTATTACGACCGCGATGCTAACGATGAGGTTAACGAAAGGTATCAGAAGCATATAACCCCGTTCGGGGTTATATGCCTCTGAAGGTATGCATTTATTTAAGATAGAGCGATGGTGAAGGAAATTGGGCCTACATTGTTTGGCATTACTCTACAAACTCTCTTTCGAACCTTTTTATGTCGTCGGTTATCTTGTCTGAATGTAACAAAAAGTATTTGGATCGTACGCTGATGCTGTTATTGAAGTGAATACAAACGATATTAAAGATACTTACTGTAGGCCGCATTAATTTCTTTTTTTGCTTAACACGTTGATAAAAAAAGAAAAGAAAAAGATTATGCCTTGTGTGATGAGCCGCAAAATACACTTCATTAATTAGCTATATATGTATTCGAAACGCGATGTATCTCAATGAGGTCGGTAATAAGTCATTTACTTTAGCTGGATTTCAAATGAATCAATGTGGTAATGATGGAAGTTGTTTTTTTATTCAAATACTTTTAAAGAAGTTATAGAAAATGCTGGAAGTTTGCAATCATTTCGTGAAGGACTAATAACTTAACTAGCCAGCGTCTATCCTGTTTATTTCTATTAGAAGTAACACACGACATCTAGCAGTATTCTAATTATATCATGATTGTTTGACCTCTACATCCAGCCCAGGGACCTAACTATGATCATGCTACAAAAACTCCCCATTTCCCTTCACTATTGCAGGGCCTCAGCAGGTATATGTTTTTAAACCTTTGAAGAAACTACGTTTTTGGTTTTGCAAGTTTCTAATTGTTCCTAAGAAAATTACACAAGCGTCTTTGTGTAGCTCTGATTTTTCACAGCACGTACTCTCAAAATGTCTTCCAGTTGTCTATTCAAAAGAAACAGGTATATTGGCCGATATTTTATAATTTATAATACAAAGAAAATTGAAACTCACTGACTGTTGATGATAATTAACACCTGCTTAGATATTTGAGTTTGTCACCGCAAATTTCTAAATCAGTTTTAATTTTAGTCATGTTATGTAGAAATCCAGTATATGTACTTATGACGAAATAGTTAAAACCTCGTTGTTAGATCAAGAAAACAGCAAGCATTATGCAGGCTTAATACTAACACCGTGAGATTCGATAAAATAGCGTATATTTGTTTTATTTTACTGTTAAAGAAAAAACGCTTGAGGTCTCACAAATGATCAATCATTAATCAGTAGAATTTAATTACAGTGAAAGCAAATATCAATTCAAACATAAAACAATCTAGGAATATTTGTATTGTGTGAAATAATTGAGCCTCTCAAGACATTTCGTAGTATATTAAGAGAAGTATTCCTGCAAAAAAATTCAAGCCCATATTTTGATTTTATCTATAGTTTGAGGAAGCCGTCCAGGTCTATAACGTGTCTACAAGAGACCGGTCTTGGCATTTTCATGAATGATTTAACAATCCCGAAACATTCTTAGGTTGAACACGATGTTATTGGTGGAAGTATCCCTTCAGATTTAATGATAATGTGTTAAAACGGAAATACAACAAAGCCTTGTAGCCAAACTTTACAGCACTCTTAACCCACAAGCTCTCAGGGATAAAGTGTTTTCTGGGTATCTGAAAACACAGGCTAATATCAAAATAGCAAGGAGTATTCTTTTTGTGACTTTAGGTTGACGAAGTAGAAAATGGTTTGGTGCGCTATGACAATTCTACTGGCAACATATTTTTGTTGTGAGTGCAGTGGCGCAAATTCGAGGTACGTTTAAATTTTAACATTGTAGGTAAGTCCTCAAAAATTACTTGATTTTTTAAAGAACTATGCGAATTCCGTCAAGAGTGTTTATACTATCAAACATCACGACAGTCGATATAACATTTGCACCATCCAATCTCACTCAGTCAAAACTTGGTTTCCTTTGGTTGTTGTTATATTTGGTGGTTTTCATTTTAAGCACACTTTCAAGGAAGGAAAATAACGAGACAAGAATAGACACAGATTTGGCTTTAAAGCGTCTGTACGTCATGCTATGTAGGCTAACTTGGAAGTCTTGGTGGTGGAACTTGTCCATCTTTGGACATCATCACTGTATGACACCTGAAAACAAAACATAAACCAATACATTTGTGTTTAGCGCTAAGATCCATGCATGCTAAGAACAATACGTCACTATTCAGTGCAGCTTTGTCGAATTCTGCAGGTGACGAGAGAAAAAGGGAATAGTCATGGCTCTCCCGCTTTCTCTGTGGATTATCTAAAAATATTGAGCATATGAAATTTGTAAGGGAGAAAGTCTTTGAAATACTTATAAACAGGAACAAACACCTCAGCCAACTCAACGTGCACACAGTGAGTACTTTAGTAAAGAATATTTAAGGGATCGAATAAACCCTAACTCTAGGTATTCGTTTCACAGAAGCATCCAAAGATATTTACTACCTTTAGCTATAAAGGCTGACGTAAATCGGATTTCTTCCACAGGGCTGTAGCATGGGGAGCGGCCGGGGAGCCGTGACCCGCCCCCCTCAGTTTTTTGCTAACTTCTGGTAACGAAGAAATGTGGCAACCCGTTGCCGCAACAACAACTTTATCAAAATTAATTACCCACAAGAGCAAAATAACGAAATTTACATGTAATTACATATAAGATATTTTAACAACCTTGAAATTAACTATATTAAAAATACCTTTCAATCTTGTTTTCTAGTTCTGGATTATTCTAGCTTGTCATCATTATATCTTATTTTTCCATCATTTTCTTAGAAGGGAGGGCAACAAGACAGTTACGGAGGTTCTGGACAGTCTTTTAACGAAGGAACATTATGATTCAAGGCTAAGACCCAATTATGAAGGTAATATGCATATAATATGAGATCTCTGCTCTAAAAAAGTACGAATTCTCAGATTTTCAATAATCATGCACGTTACTCTAAACAATGGAACAGATCGTGTCATTTTTTGGCACACCAAACGAGTGACGAATGCCAAAGTCATTGATTGAATAATTGATTAATTGATCGATTGATTGATTGATTGATTGATTGATTGATTGACAGGCGGGCCTGTTGAAGTAACAGTCGGCTTTTGGGTTCTCTCCATCAATGCAATAAATGTGGTTGATATGGTAGGTGTTTACTAGCATTGAAAAGAGTTCTTTAAACAGTACATTTCTCGACTAATGCTATGGAAATCCAGATCGCGGTAGCCTGAGTAGAAGGGGTCGAAAGGGATGGGGGCGGGGTGGGGGAGAGAAAATGGAGAGGAGATTTGCCTGAGGGCCTCCATCTCCTTTTTCTTCTATCGCTGAGTAAACAGCCGCTGGAGGCGTTTCTTCCTAGAATCATTATTTTTTTTCTGTTGACCCCTTTGTTCTATGTCACCATTTCTCTGGTTTTAGTAGTAGAAAGACACACACAAAAAAACGAAACGATCGATGTGTCAAAAAATTAACATCAAAGAAAAGAACGCACGTCGATAACTACCAATTACAACTGTTGTGAGGTTAACTTATTCGTGTCTTATTTTAACTTACTTTTTATCATTTTATTTCATTTTCTATTTAATGTTTAATCATTTTTAGCTAGTCAAAAATAATGTTAACGCAAAAGGGAAAAAAAAATTTTTTGATCGACCCCCATAACTTAACAAAATGCTGGCGTTTAACCTAACAAATTAAAGCAATTTTGGCCGCTCTTTTTGTCCTTCGCGGGAAGAGTGGGAAAAGAGGGGGAGAGGAGGGCGTGGGCTTTCATTGCCTCAACAGCGATGCCTACCGACGGGAATAATTTAGTGATTTGAAAGTGCTTATGAAGAAAAAATTTCGACCAGAGAAAAAGTCGGGATAATCAAGTTTTGATTGTGCTTTTTGACTCTGCTGTTGCTGTTGTAACAAGGACTTTTTGTTGGACATCTTCTTTCGACAAGAGTGGACAGACGAGCGGCTTGATCACGGGCTCAACAAGACCATGTTCCTTAGCAACACGGTAATGGATCGCATCTGGATGCCGGATACGTACTTTGTAAACGCCAAACATGGAAGCTTTCATAAAATCACTACTCACAATATAATGATTATGATCATGCCAGGAGGAGTCGTCAAGTACAATGCAAGGTACATTTAATAAAAAAATTTCAGTTAAATATTTTAGAATCCACACTAGGAAAATCTTGGGCCACTTTGAGAGGTAAGCCATATAACGAACCCAGTCAGGTTCTTGATGCAGATATCCAGAAGCTGAAGCAAAACTTAGTCTAGTTTTACCCCCCTCTCTTTGTCACGCAACGATAGGACAACTTTCTTTGGCGCTGATCCTTACACTGCGTTATTTCCCGCCGCTTTCCCGGCGGCACATATGGAGTCTGCTGTGATTGGTTTATCTGGGACAAGAACAGACATTTGTCCCCATCTTTCGGTGTTGAGTAACGAAGAAAGAGGGCCAGAAATTGCATGATCCAGCTATGCTGAGCAAAGTGGATGCAAACAGTTCACAATTTGTGTAGAATCTATTTCCAGCCTGCTGACACAGTGGCACGAACATTTTTATCAATCAAAAGGTGTAACAATGTATAACGACATTTTGTGCCAATTTCTATCTTCTTGTCTGAATTATTTTCAGAATAACCATCAAAGCCGCCTGTCCGATGGATTTGAGAAAGTTTCCTATGGACACACAACATTGCCCTTTGTCGGTTGAAAGTTGTAAGTTAAAATATACTGACATGTTTGTAATACAGTAATACAAAGGTTGTGTTATTAACGGTGATGATGACAATGATGATGACGATGGTTGTCAAATATTTTCTTCACAGATGGATACAGCAAGGAACACATAAAATTCAAGTGGGAGAAAGGCAAAACAGATGGAATGTCATTCGTTCCTGGTAACGCAAAAATGTTGCCTCAGTATAGTTTAGTATCACTGAACCTTTCGAAGATTTCCAACCGATATGTTGTTGGTAAGTCATACTTCTACAATGCCTTTTTGTTAAGAATGCAGTGGCATGGTATTTCCCCCCCGCCCGCCCCCTTTCCCGCCTCCTAATTCTCTCTTACTTCTGTTTGAGATGGGCTGCTGGGAACAGAGGAGTGACTTCCATGGGACGTCTTCAACTTGATCTCGTGTTTGTCTAAACATTCTCATTTGTTCACTTTTGAGTTGCTTTTTTTTCACTCCGTCCAAATGAACGCTTTTAAAGCGTCTTGTTGATTTAAAACTGAAAATATCTCCAATACAACACTTCAGTTTGCTGTTTGTGCTCGACATCTAAATGAGTTCAACGACCAAAACACTCATAAGTGCTTCTTTTTTTCTCCTCAGGGAACTGGTCTGGAATTAAGGCCGTATTTACTTTTGAAAGAATGGCCAGCTACTTTTTAATCCACGTGTACAGCCCATGCGCACTGATCGTCATTGTCTCCTGGATCAGTTTCCTTCTGCCGCGCAGTTCTCCACCTGCGCGTGTCACGCTGGGCGTAACCTCTGTCCTCACTGTGGTCACCGTCATGAATATGCTTAACAATTCAATGCCAAAGGTAAAATAAGGAACCCAAAATTAACAGTCATTTTCTGATAGAGAGGGTAAAGGTCTAGTGCAGGCTTAGATGCACCAGGAAAGCTTTGCCCAGCTTAAACATATTCTTCTTTTCAAACTTGAGAAATCTGGGTTGTAGAGTTGGCATGGGTCATGTTTAAGGTTGCTTTGGGCATTGGCAATTGGCAATTGGGCATTTGAGCATACAGAACTCGCTGAAATGATTTGCTTCAGTGAAACACAAAAGCTGGGCTGTGCGCAATTCCTAATTTCCAAAGCAACCTTTATTGAATCTGCTATAAACACCCCAAGGTTTTCCGCTCGGAGAGAAATTAATTTCAAGGAAGCTTTAGAGTCCTCATTGATCCTGATACCCGTGTTACTTTGAGCGGAGGAACTTCAGCTATGCCACGAGGCGGTTTTAAGTTAGAGGCCTGGAGGAAACCAACACCAGGCAACAAGTTTTCAACTTTAAAAATTGCACATGAAACTGTAGCTTTCATCAGGGTTTTCGTTGGAATCCTCCGAACGACGCCAGCGTATCACTTCAATAAGCATGCCAGGAACTTCCTGTGCACAAAACAAACATTAACAACCCGACTTTTCGATTACCTTGCAGGTGAATTACGTTAAGACAATCGATAAATACCTCATTGGATGCTTTTTGTTTGTCTTCGCTTCGTTGGTTGAATATTCTATTGTGCTGTTCTTAGCAGCCAGAATGAAGATATATCAAGAATCGTACGAATATAAGAAAGACAACTGCAAGAAGTTCGGCACAGATCCAAACAGCTTTAAATTCCTAAACCACGGAGGAGGCGTCGTTTTTAACAGGGTAAGAATTTTGCCCCTGAAAAGCTTAAAAATTGTTCCTTGTTTACTAGTTAACCATTTTTTATGCCCCATACAAAAATTAGAATGGATATCGATACCCACAACTATTAGGACTTCAAGGGTTTAGTCGTTATTCAAATGTATCTCCCGTAATTAATCAATGAGAGTAGAGGGCCACAAGAAATCCGATGCTATTGTAAGAACTAAGCTTGGACTCTATTAACCGATCTCTCAAGGGCGTCTTTAAGATTTCCAGAAAACCATCTGTATCACCATTACAGCTAATTTCTCCTTTGGCTTCTTTTTCAGCGCAGTAAATCAGAGAAAATATGCAGCACTCAGTTAGAAATGATGGAATTCTCTAAACTCGAGGATGAAATGATAGAAACACCCACACAAAAGACGCAAAGAACATGGCTGGATATAAAAGCTTTGAGAAAACGTTTTTACACTGAGAAAGCGATCCTGGCTGTTGATGAATATGCCCTTATTTTATTCCCTCTCAGTTTTGGTTTGTTTAACGTCTTGTATTGGCTGACAATTGCGAATGATTCGGAGTCAACGTTTACTAATTCCTGACAAAATACAGGAAAGTGCACTAGGCTTCAGATCGCCTTTGAAGTTTCTAAAGTAAGGTCCAGCAACCCAAGCAACGACCCATGTTGTGGTGCGACTTTGTCCCTCGGCCAGGGCCGATGAGAAAGCGGTTGTTTATGCTGACATTAACACTGCATACCCAAGGCAACATGAAACTTTGGTTGCGATTAGCTTCGGATGGAAGCCCGAAAAACGTAAAACTTATACAACAGATACACTAAATTAGTGAATTTCTGTTAGTTATTGATGCTTAAAAAAGTAACGAGTAAGTCGCCCTATCACAAGTGTGCCATGTAGGACGTGGCAAAGAGATGACTCGTACTAAAAGAGTGACAGTTTACATAAATTATATACATATCTATCGTGAGTATATATAACTGTGAACAGACAAAAAAAAATTCGGCGTCAAACGCCAATATATTTTATACAGTATATCTATGCAACCTACACTGTATTTGTTCGAAAACGTACCCCGCTTATTTGATTTCTGGACTTCCCACTGAGGTAATTCTCGAAGACTGAGCGTTTTAATACGCACGCAGTAACATGCTTATACACACGCAGTTTGGTTGTTTGGTAGGGGAATGATAGGTAGCATTCGGCTTCAATCCCAAATCAGCTCGTACTAACGAAATTACAAAATAACTTTATTGATTTTCTTGTTCCTCCGATTTGTGATCGGCATTTACGCATTGTGCATAAAGTGTCGCGAACGTCAAATATCCCGTGTGTCCTGTCATATCTTTCAGCGGCCTGCCAGTCAGAATATTTGTTTTGTTGGCTTTCTGTGATATGACCGCCCTTACATTGCGTACCAGTCCAGTCGCAGGATCAGTATCCGTGAATTTCTTACGAGAACTGGGCGAGGCTTCCTCTTCGCAAATCTTGCCAGATTTGGGTAAGTTCATTTTCTCATTTTCTACGAGCACTTTCTCTCCAGAGGAGTCGTGATCCGATCTTGAAGCCATTATTATATCACCTGTATTTGTTGGATCATCTTGGAAGCTTGAAGAATTCTAACAAAAATAGAAATAAGAAGCAAAAACCAAATCAAAATTTTTACTAGTTGAATGAATAACATTTGTTTTCCATACGGAATGTAAGAGCAACAAGGTCGATGAAATCAAGCAAGGATGTAAAGTAAATAGTACAATTAAAGCAAACGAGGGTAAAAATTTCAACTGGCTCAGGAGATGGGATACCTCTGCTGAGAAAATCTGAGGGTGACTTGAACCCAGACCCTCCTGATTGCAGGTTCGATGCACAGGTATCTGGCCATGCCAATTCTTGACATACCTGTACACGACTCTCAGAAATTCAAATCTGAAAAAGCCAGTGGTTATCTCTGTTTTTTCTTTTTTTTCTAACAGAACGGACATTTGTTTAGTTCATTTTTATACTAAACAAACTAAACACTTCACTAACGATTTAAAGGACTAGATGAGAATTCGGTTCCATCCAACAAAAGAAACCTGGAAACTAAGATTCTCAACACAAAGTGATACCTTCTGTGTTACAGCGTCAGGCTTGTTATTTTCCAGATCAAGTTTTCTCTTCCGAGACGATGAGTTTATGGCGTCTCCTTGAAATAATTGACAGTCCTGAAAAAAATTTAGTTTCGTTTCATCAGCATTTTACACCCCACCTGTGAGGCGTGCTGGAGTCCCGGGCTTGCCGCAACGAAATCAAGGAAGACGGAATGCACCCCAGCTTATACAAAGGTGCCACAAGGTGCCACTTGGACAACGTAATACATGTACACTTGTGTCTTTTACTGTCATACATCTTGCTTACTTAGTTGTCCTTCAGAACTTAGTGGGTGCATTGGTCAGGCCACATGGGAGAATCCGGAGGCATTCTGAGTATCCAGCGTCTATTTTATTTTTATTTCTACATTTCCTTGCGCAGTAAGCAGTGACTTTTGTATCCCAAATATGTGGCTCAATACCCTGATGTACCGAATAACTGTCACCAAACCGAGACAATTTCATTTGCTCCAAACAACAACTTCCTGCAAACTCCAACAGGAATGGAAGAGGCGGTCCTCCAACAGATACTTTGCAACGTTTAAAGCACCTGTTCGTCGGAATTCTTCAAAAAATAATAGTAACTTGACCTAAATATAGATTTATTTTTATATTCTTGCTTCTAGAAGTCGCCAATGTTGAACTTCTGTTCCTTGCTTTTCATAAGTGATAAAACTAATGACATTGCATTCATAAATTCAGGGTCGTTTTAGTACACTGCACGTTCTAACAACGGGCATTTGACCCATAAGATTTTCGGACTTGAAACTTTGAAATCTCCTTTCCAAACCTCTGCAAAAAATTGCTGTCTTCAAATTAAATGGCCCAAGAGCCATACACTTAACATAGCTTTTAAAAGGGGGAATCCCCTTCCTCTAAACATAAGTCCATCCTAAGATGATAGGCTCTTCATTCATTCGTGAAATAACGAGAAAATCATTACTATTCCTAGATTATGCCGAAGCCATGGTATATCATTATACATGTTTTTGAAAATAATTCAAAGAATGTTCTGAATTTTTTTTCAGACTTCTTACGCAACTGCATAAATTGCGTTCACAACTGCGAGGATCATTCTTCATTTCATTTCATTCCCATGATACGATTTACCGCAAAATTCCGAAAATAAGCCCCACGGCTTATATTTTTCAAAGGCCCTTTTTGAGGGGCTTATTTTTGGAGGAGCTTATATTCAGAGGGGCTTATCTACAGAGGGAAATTTGCGTTTCAAAATCGACTGGGCAAGCCTTATAGTTGGAAGGAAATTTACCGTTTTTGCTTTGTTTTACATTGTATTTGAGGGCAATTTTCAAGTACAAGTCCCCGGGGGGGGCTTATATTTGGAGGGCAATTTAACGGAGGGTTTTTTGCGTTACGAGTTTGGGGGCTTATATTTGGAGGGGCTTATTTTCGAAATCTTACGGTATTTCATATCCATCTATCACAAAAAAAAATATGCTTACATCTGGACCCAGGTGCGGAACTTGGAGAGGGACAGTTTTGACTTCAAATGTTCTAGACAGGCACTCCATCACTGTTATGTCTGAAGCAGAAAGACATGATGAGGAAAACATCGCATAGTTCACTAAAATCCAATCAGGAACATTTACATATAATGTGTATGGGTGGAGAAATCAGTTTATAACTATACAGCTGTACTCAAAGCCTAATCAGTTCTTAGCGACTTATCTGTTATGTAGACACTGGCTACTCAACTTCAGTGTAGACTGATGCTGGCTACTTAACTGATAGTCCTAACTGGAAAAACTGCATACTTCAAAACAACAAAAATAATAAATTGTATGAAGGAAGATCATCGCAGTTATATACGCAACTTTTGCAGTTGCAAAAAGAAAGCCTGAAAAAAAATTCAGGCTCATACAAGATGCGAACCCTTGACCTCTGCAATACTGGTGCAGCACTGTACCAATTAAGCTAAAAGGCCAACTGGGAGCAGGTTGCTAAATTGGTTCGTTATTCGTTTATCATATAATTTCTTGCTGCACCAGTTATCAAGAGTTCGAATCCCGTACAAGCCTGACTTTTTTTAAAGGCTTTCTTTTCGCAACTGCAAAAGTTGTGTATATAACTTCGATGATCTTCCTTCATATAATTCTTCACTCAGCAGTTCACACATACGATTTTTATATATTCATAACTTCAAAAACAATTATTAATATACGTATTACCTCTAAATCCGCATGATCTCAGTGACTCACATGTCCTCTGTACTTGTTCAATGCATGGAGAAAAGGAACAGAGTCTTCCCCCTTCTGCCTGTTTTAAAACAATACAATATTATTGTTAACAGAGTATCACCATGTATCAAGCATGTCATGTCCTTTCAGTGGTCCAATACATTACAGGGCTGCCATTAAGAGCCAGGGGCAGAGGATTTCCTCTGGCTACTACGAATGTGGTCCCCCTGCCACTTTCATTGGAAAAAAAAAAAAACAGAACCAAAAGAAATCCCTAGCTGTTTGATTCCCCACCTGCTTGTTGTATTTACCTGGCAACTTGAAACCTTAGTGACAACCCTGTATTTGTATTTCCTTTAAAAACTTGAATCCTTATGACTGCTTGCATTCATGGTAAATAAAATTAATATCAAATAAATCAGCAATTAGTAAGGAGCTAAACATGTGTGCATGATTATGTTATCTCTACTCAAAATGCTTGGCTAGAGCCATGCCAATTTAGCAGAACCAAATTATGAAAACAGAGCCTTAACTTGCTTCTGTGTCAAGCTATTTAGCGGTAACTTACTTTGAGTGCCTCTTTACTGGATTGTATTGCCTCCCACGGTGCTGGCAAATCTAGAAACACTGCAAGAGATATATCATGTTACTTCAAACAGTAACTGAAACACTCAGCATAGCGAAGTGAGCACAACCCAAAAGAAAGTTCCCAGTGTCTTTGTTATTAAAAAGGAGAAAGTTAATGGTGATAATTATATCCATTTGGGTGAACTTGCCTGCATCAGCTACTTGATTTAAACCGAATCCTTCTTTACAGACATCACGGCATCTAACACTTACTAGGTGACTTATCTTATGGCTCTCAAATTCTTTTCTGTGGCATAAACAAACCGATTACATGAATAAATGAATGAATGTAGATAATTAAATAATTCATAGATAAACAGGGTTTGAGAAAAACTAGACTTTCTCACAGCCCGTTTCAGGTTTTTGCTGGTTTGGTGGTCAGTCGGGAAACAGGCTTTTTCTGCAGGGAAAAGCCTGACATTTCACAATGCACCCTTCAAAAACATAAGCTTACATAAATACTGGAAACTTCCGGCTATGATAATGTTTGGGTGGACGTTTCAGTTGATTTCACCAAGGGAATAAGTTGAGCAGTGATTCTGGTTTCATTGAATCTGAGGGCTTTTCATTTGCTGTGAAATTAATCACTAGAGTCTTTACCTTTTGACCGATTCGATGGAGCCACAGACCACGGTTTATTTCATACGCATTTTGGAGATGCACCTCTGGAGCCAGGGTACAGTCTGCTGCTAGCCTCTCTTTTGACAATCACAAACCATTTTTTCACACCAATATTATGCTAATTAAATTCAATCCTTTGCAGACAGAACAAGTTGACTCGCAACTACATGCCTCGTCTTGCTCTTATGACTTCGACACTCACTTTCGCTCTCTTCGCAAGCGTCACACAGTCGACTTGTGACAAGTCTAGAGAAAAACTTGAATTCTAGCTTACGCCCAGGAAAATTGAGTACTGGTATTAGTTTACTTCTTAGATAACTCTAAGAAGACAACTTGCCTAGCCCTTTGCTTATTGAGCAAGTGCACATGAAAAGTTGATGTTGGGTAGCAAAATCTCCTTGTTCTGGACAACAGGATTGGTCTTTTTTTTCCCATAACATACTCTGTGAATGGTACACAGTCTTATTTCTGTATATTTGTTACCTTGCTATATCTGCTCGTTCTGAATGAAACTCAAAAGTGTGAAGATGACCCGATGGTGCAATGGTTCGGATGAGTGAATGTGACATTGATCCACTTCCAGTACCTGCAAATGGATAAAACCAGGCTCCTTTCCATCTTATTAGATATTGTACGCACCAAGCTGGTATACAGGTAGTTATAAACTTTGCCACTACTTCATTCATCAAAATTGGCCTCCAAGGAATTTTAAATGTTTTTGTTACCCAAAAGCCATGCTATACAAGAGCAACTATTTGGAAGGGTCAAGCAACAAGTTATACATAAATGTATCCATTGTTTCAAGACAAGAGATCCCCTTCCCAAGGCGCCAGATAAAAGGTAAACGAGGTAAGATCTTGATAAAAAAAAAGGAAAAGAAATAAAAACTCTAAGTTTGTCGCTATGTGCTAAAAGTAAAGAAGCTTTTCCAGTGCAAACTACATTGTTACCTGATTCAACAACAACAGAGCCTGGTTTGAGAGCCAATCTTAAGATAACCATACTTATATCTGTGGTATAAAGTATCTGGGTTCTGTGCAGGAGATTAACTGTCCATAGCTCAGGAGTGGGATGAAGAAGATAAACCCAACCTTTTTTGTTCAACGAAAACATCTGAGGACAAATAGAAATTGATGTATGATAAAATGGCCGTACAGTATTTGTTGTTAAGAAAATGTGAATTTTGGAAGAAAAAGAATACACTTTTATAACCATTTATACAATGCAGTGACTGATATGCATGTTGTGATTGGCCATTGCCCAAATATGTGCTAAGAACATCAGTGACACATTTGCTTGCTGCTCAAGTGCCAAAAATGAAGCAACATTTGTCAGTGATAAAGTATAGCATACCTTTGTTCCAAACTGTCTTCCTATCATGTCTGAATGAGGTAGCGCACCATATTTTGTTTGATGAACTTTGCCTGGTGTCACAGTTACAGTCTGCATAGAGTTGTGCCCCTAACAACAATAATTATCAATAATTATGAATGCATAAGAAAGTCAATGCATTAATTATCATCCCATAATTAAGATGGTAAGTAAATGCATTAATTGATTGAACTTTGACAAATCGCAATAAGGAAATTGTTGATTTGTCTTTAGGGCATCTTCACAGGAGAAAATAAAAGCGCGGTCGTAGCTAAAAAGTCGGTCCATTTCGTTTTGTTCAGCGATAATTTCATCACACATTATCAGCAAACCTAGTGAAAACTCGATCTTGAATACAAACTCAATAGCCCTCCGGGTCCGATAATTATCGGGGTTCTCGACAAAATAGACCGCATCGGTGACGGGGATGAAATGAGGATTGCCTTGCGAGAAGATGTCTGCGCGCCAGTTGCGGGAATTTGAGCGATATCAGTATGCACGTAATAAGGTTAAGAAGGTTATACTGTACTTACTAAGAAAAGAATTACAGTATCGCCCTCTGAAATTGTTTCTTTGTACTCTGAAAAACTCATGATTTGACAGATTAGACTGAGAAAGCTTTGTCGCAAACGCACTGTAGTTTCAAGATGGCTGCCTCTCCAAAGTAAAACCGCTGAGTGGCTGTTCCGACTGTACATGGTAACGATTGCTCTGGATGCTGGGAAATTTAAACAGTTGCTAGCGCGAAAAAGGTACACAAATATGGCGGATGCCTGGCGAGTTTTCACGAATTTTATTGGCTTTTATGGCAACAAAAAAACGAAGATGAGGTTTGCTACTTATTAGCAAAGTGTAACCATCGATGAAAGTATGTTAGAGGGAAATGATGCAAACTAGTCGGAAAAGTTTTCAAAATGTCAAATCAGGCAGCTGAAATCGAAATGGCCTTATCACAGCCAAAACTTCCAGCTATTGCCGATTCAAGAAATCTGGTTTCGCAGCCTTTGTCTACCGCTCATGAAGATTTGAACAATGGCATTAATCGAGAGAGGTCGTTTGAGCTAAGGTCTAAAAGCAGTGGTGAATTGGAGAATGAAGATGTCAAGCTTTTATTCCAACTAGTGTCACGGAGGTTTGTCAACGCTTTGCAGGAGAATACGAAACAATCTTGGCGTGACCTTTGCCAAGTATTGGATATTGTGAAGCCTTATGCGCACTTCCTTACTGGATCTCCACAAATAGTTCATTATGTCGAGCGAGCATTTCAAAAAATTCAAGATAGTCAGGATGAGGGAGAATCCACCTTTCTCTTGGAAAAACTGTGTGCAGTTTTTCCAGCTGAGTTTTCACTTGTCCAGGACGGTGCTCGACCTAAAAATGTCCAATTCCCAGCTGGATCATCGGAAGAAAGCCTTTTTACACCAAGAGGTCAACACGCACCTTTATCTAAAGGAGTCCGGATCCCCCGTGGTGAGCCATTATTTCCTGGCGGCACAACTTACACCTTTGACAAAACAGATGGTGATATGACAAGCTATGGACCTAAGCCTTTGTGTTTGGAAGATTTAAAAAGATCTCTTCCCAGTGTGGTAAGAGAAATAGCTTTTAGAGAGGCAACTTTGAGAGGTTCACTGGGAACAACAGTGCTTGCACTGGACACAGATTTGCCGCAAACACGGCTACCAACTCCACCACTGACTCCAAGGAGATCTCCCAGTGTACCTATTATAAAAACACCAATCTCAGAAGCAGGCTGCATTTCACAACTAAGTGAATCAAAGAAATCTAACTTGCCAAAGACAGGCAGGGAGGTAGTGGAGTGTTATGTTAAAGGTCGTTTCCTCGGGGAAGTAAAGTTTGCTTTCTTGAATATTGCACCTTCTGTGCGGTATGATCCATACAATCTTGTGGTCGTTCCTGAGAACAAAGTCAAACCGGAGCATTATGTGATTTCATCACATTGTGTTTTGCATGTAAATCCTTTTGGACCATCAGAGTCTCAGTCACTGGCTGAGTGGTACAGAGAAGCTTGTTTGTTCAAAGCAATTTCAAGTATTGGATTTTTCAAAAACTATCTCTTAACCAAGATGTTTCGGAAATGGAAGGACATTAAAAAATTAAGTCACTTTCTCAAAGTGGAATCAGCAGTTGAGAGATCTCTCATTTCAAATGTTCCTAGCTTTGGTTCAGCATTGCTTCGAATCTCAAGCCTCCTCCAAGACTTGGAAAAGATCACTTTCCTTCCCTTCCAAGTCAATTTTTCTTACAGTTTGGAAGAGTTTGAGGATACTGTTTTTAGAACTTGCAACAAAGGATACCAGTACATGGAGAAGTTTTTCAATTACTGCCAAATGATTGTTGATAAAACTCAAGAGAGCTGCTTTGAATATCTGGAGTATTGTGAAGGTCAAGTTAAGAACCACCGGCATAATTATCATGAATCTCTTGCAGTCGGCAAAAGAAAGAGAGCAACAAGGCAACAGAATCTCAAACTTGCACGAGATGAAGTCAGAAGACTTGGCACTTTTGTAAGCCTAGTGGATCACATTATTGTGTCAAATCTTTTAACATTAACCCAAGGAAATATTTCTAGATTTGTCAATGAAACAATGCCTGGACCACGCCCTGAAAGGGATGGGCTTTTTAGTGCTGAAATTGTGTTTGGAGATGATCATAAGCTTATGCTATCACCATCTGTCAAGCAGTTTGCACGTGCTGTTAACTTTGCCGTGAGAAGTGTGGTCAGTGCGAGCTGCAATCTTTCACATGCCATGGAGTTGGGACAAAGAGCGCAAGCATTTCAGGAGAAGGCAGAAAAAAATGGTGCTGAGGAAGGCAGCAGTGAAGATGATAGTGCCAAGTTGAATGGTTCTGTTGCAGTTGAAAGTGTTTACACTAAAGAAAAAAAGGTAGATGGGCATATTGAGAATCTCATATATGGCAAAGATTCAAAAATAGTGCTGACTGGACAGCAACCTGTTTCACATGCCACAACAACGATTATGGTAAGAGCTTACCACTTATGTTACCCAAAACAAGTTATTGCAATAGATATTTATGTCTAGACCCATTTGCAGTGGCTTCACTATTAATAGTTGTTTTCCCATTTCAGCCTATGTAATATTCTGAAGGGATTTTTCCTTTGTCATGTTTAAAAATTTAAAAGGATATTATTATCCTCAAGGATAGCACTAACAGCACATGGTGTTAAATGCGTAGTATACACAAACAACCCAAGCTAAAATTGTCTCTCCAAAATAATCAAAAGGGTGCCTAGAATAAAGCCCTAAGTGATTTTTGATCAACTGCTAAATTCTGCCTTCAATTTGCAGGGTGCAAAGAAAATCATTTTTACAGCTTGCCATTCGGACAAGCTGAAGCTAACATTGACTAGCCCAGACGTCATTTCAAGTAGCCCCAAAAGCTTTTTGACGAGCAGAATTGATCTCACAGTTCTTCTGTTATTTGAATTCCTCAAAAAATATCACTTGCCCGTCGGGCAAGTTAACAGCAAGATTCACTAGCCCGATAGAAAAATCCACTAGCCCCGGGCTATCGGACACGACTTTCTTTGCACGCTGATTTGCCTTGTATTATGAATGTTAATCAAAGAGAGAGTGTGGTATTAGGTCAAAAGGTGCTTTAGCACCTTTAATTCCATGCACCCTTTCGTAAATATTTATTTATTATTTCATTTATTTGTTTGAATATCCGTTTGTTATTAGACATTGTACGAGATAAATAATGAATTAAATAAAATAATTAAAAATCATTCTTCTGAGCCCCCAATAGTTTCAACGATTTACTGGAAGTGTGTTAATTGTGAATTTCCCTTCAACCTGATTGGCAAGTAGACAATGGATTTTTTAACAGGCCGACCATAGCATGCATTTGAATCCTGACACACAGCTGGGGGGTTAGAACAAGGATTTCGGTGCTGGCTCACAAACAGACCAAACCAAAAGTTTAGTTTTGCCTGTGGCACAGGCTGAATGAAACAGCATCATGGTTGTGTTTGTATTAATAATTTTTATTCTTTTCAGACTCATTTTGTGGAAGAACCAGACACATCACACAGTGATAGTTCAATCACAAGAACCGATGGAGAGATCAATGAAGACCTGGATGGTTTGAATTCTGATCTCCTGAGTGCAAGAGACATGAAAGAGGTCTCAGCACAGGAACTGTGCCTTCACCAAGATCACTCAGGAGGATTACTGGTGGAAGGGCAGAGGTTTCAGGATTTTGCTATTGACAGGAGTCCTTTGACTAAGGAAAAAATGATGCATATAATGTACAAGAAGTAAGTTATCTCAGCTACAATTTATCGCTTACTCCAGTTGGTTTGTAATTTGTTAAGGGGTCAGCATGCCAGACTTGCTATCCAAGAGGCCCTCTGAAGGGGGAGAGGGAAATTTTGTGTACAATAAATATCTATAGTCCTCAGCATTATTGTTTTTACATCTTAAGAAATGTTGTTCCCACCTGGTTATCATCACGTACCTACCACATACCATGCTTTATTTCTAAGGATATTTTTGGTCTGTTACATCCAACAGCCAGCAGATCAAACAAGGCCTCATGTACCAGACACACCTTCTTGCTGAAGCCAGTAAGGAAGTGGAACTATTTTGCGATGATCACACTTGGATTGCTGAAATCCATGAGTTTGTGACATCATGGGGTGATGGCCAAGTTGAAAACTGGAGAGGACAGCTAGCTATCAAGATTGAGGTAAACTGAATATATTAGAAATTTTTTATTCATTAGTGTAGTTTTCTCCAGAAGGCAATAAGTGCATGAGTGCCTTTGTAGCCTAAAACTCAATATTTCTACGGTAAATCAGTGACAATCTCAAATCTTACATTAATTTTATAATAAACCATTTTTTTACTGATGCATACTGATAATTATGTAATATGTATAATATTGTTTGCACACATGTAGATCGCGTAGAATATTTTAGACAATAATAGAGCTGTATCTTTGACTTTTGCACTGTAGGTATATATATTTGTACCATCATATATCAGGTACCGCATGCAAGTCTAGCAGGCACCATGTTCTTGAAGTTAATTGCTAGCCACATAGCTTTTGCAGTAATCACCAAAGGCGACATGAAATCTTGTCTTGTCTGATAGTGAACATGTTCTTTTCTTCTTCACAGCAACAACTGAATAAAATCAAAGCTTGGAAGGAGAAAGTACTGAGTATGACAAAGAGCTTCTGTACTGAAAATGGAATCTTCTTTGTAGACTGCCATGATGTCCAACAAAAACTTCTTCCACAACTTAACAGTATATATAAAAAGATGGTTCAAATGGTGGCCTTAGATGTCATAAGGCTCTCTGATGAGATGGTGAAAGATGTGAATGAGCTCTCGCAGGTAAAAACAAGACTAGACAATCATTGAAAGTACAGTGTAAGCAAGCACATTATAATGAACAACACTTTGTAATTTTTGTTTTCAGATGAAAGTACATGTATGGCACTTAAAGGGTGATTTTCATCTGCCTAAAAATGTGCACAATGTACTGTACCATTATTGAAGCATTCCTTAAGATTTGTAACAACAATCCTTCATTGTGCTATCTTGTCATTTGCTGACTTGGTGTTTGAGCAGGTCTTATTTGATTAATAAAAGTACAATCAACCTAAGTTGTATATTAAACTGGATGCCTTGAACCTTAACTGAAGAGGTACATCTGTATCGATAGAAAAAGGCCTGAATTGACTCTTGTCAAGTAAAATTCTCTTCTCATTTCACAAGAAAATACCAGGTAAGTTGTAGGGAGAATGTAGGAGTCAATCAGAAGTCACTTGGGCTTTTTTTTTAGGCACTGGCCCCCTTCATTTTTTAAGTAGCAGGTTATATTACAGC